CCCCCCCCCGGCAGCTGCCTGCCTCTTCCTGGGCTGGGGAATGCTGGATCGGGCTCTCCCTCCTTGCAAGGAGGGGTGTATGCGTGGGCTCTGCTCGGTGCCTTGTGTCTGTCTCTCCTCTCTGGATGCTGTCGATCCTGCCTGTACCTCCTCCTCCTCCTCTGTCCTTCCCCATCGCAGACCCTGCCTGGTCACCCCCCTCCCCATGCCTTGTCCACTCTGCAGGGCACTGTCCCTCCCTGCTTCCCGCAGCAGTAGTGACCCTCAGCGATGCTCACAGGCGTTCCCACCTTCGCTCCTGCCTTGGCTCTCCTCCTCCTCCTCCTCCTGGGACCTTCCTCCCTCCCTTCCTGCCTCTCCAGCCCTAGGCCGAGGAGGGATTCACGGGTGCTGTTGTGTCCCCCCCCCCCCTCCGCTTGTCTCCCCCCAGGTGTGTTCTGAGGCCACTGCGCCCGGGGGACCACGCACGCCCGCTCGCCCACGGAGGCTCTCCCAGCCAGGACTCCGCTTTGTCCCTGCACGGCCACCCCCTGCCCACCCCCTTTCCCCCCAGCACCCTCTGGCTCCATGGTTGGGGTGGGGTGGGCACAACGGGGCTTATGGCCAAGCAATACCTGGGGTGGGGTGAGATGCCCCGGGCACCACGAGGTGGTGGGGAGGGGGGTGGTGGAGGGGGGAGGGTTGCTGTAGATTAGGCTGCTGGGGGGTGCTGGTGGCAGGCAGCGAGGGGCAGCATGGCTGGGCTCAGCCAGTGGGGCCAGGCTTTGCCCCCCCACCTCCTCGCTGCAGCCCCCCCCCCCCTCATCCCTTTCTGCTGACAGCCATCAATAAACCTGTTTGCAGTAGGGGCTGCCTGCGGAGTGTCTCTGGGCTTGGGGGCTATAGGGTACCCCCCATCTTTGCCTGCAGGCAGCAGGGGTGATCTGGGCCCAGCTGCAGGGGTTTGGGGGTTGTGGGGTGCAGGCTGTGCTCCTGCAGGGATGTGGGGCAGTCCCTGTGCTCCCCCTGTACACACACACACACACAGGCAGAGGCCAGACGTGGCTGCAGCTGCACGAACGCGACACGAGAACTTTATTCACATCAAGATACAAAATTATATTTCTCTAGAAATTTCTCTTCTGCTCGAGTGACGAGGCGGGGAGCGCACAGAGGGGACCTGGGGCTGGGCCAGCCCCCCCTGCACCCAGTGCTCCCCCTCGGTGGGGGGACCCGTGCCTGCTCCTGCCCCCTACTCTGCTACAGAGAAGGAGGGGGCTGACGCAGGACAGGCAGGTTGGGGTGCAAGAGAGCAGCTTGGGGGGGGGGGCCCCACAGGCC